TTTTTTCTATGTCATATACTATTCAAGTAGATTCGTTCAATGACACAGTCGATACGATTCAAAGTTCAGAACAGAAACATGAAGGTTCGACTTTTATTTTAGGACAAATTATTTCTCAAAATGAATTGGCACTAGCACAATCAAATACAAAATATGATGTTTTTGATGAGTTTTTAGAGCTTGGTATAAAAAGTAAATCCGTCAGTAAGACAAAGAATGATGTAAAAATCAAAAAAAAAGCGTGGTGATGACGCAGACAATAATACGATTGTCGCAAGTGACAAAAATAGTAAGAAACGGGAAGCCAAAAATGACAACGTTGTACGAAAAGAAACCACCAGACGTGCTTTAAAGGACAAATCAAATAAAAAAAATAATGCCACAAATCAGATAAAAGAAGTCGTTATTAGATCTAATCTTGTATCTGAGAAGAATCGGGATAAAGACTTATTGCAAAAGAATAAGGGTTTAGAAAAAGACGAAAAGCGAGTCGATTTCAAGATTTACGATGATAATAGTGAACTTATCGTCAGTTCTGCGACAGAACCTGGTGAGGTAAAGAATTAAAATCTAAGTTCATATAAATTTATGTTTTCACTTAGTGACGTTACCCAAACTACGTATGAATAGTATCATACAGTTTCGGCAATTACAATAAATCAGTAAATACCTAATGTGATATCATTCATCTCGTAGTTTGGGACATCCCAATTAGTTTAGATACCATCGCTAGTAATCACCTTCGTATGTGATAAAAGAAGTTTTTTTTTTTTTTTTTTTAACAAGTTGCAAGAACATGACTATTTAAACGACACACATATTTCGGAAGACTGGCGTGATATGAAGCCAATCATGACATCAACTCCCGTCAAAGTTACAAATGATTCGCAATATCACACAAATAATGTATCTTCAGCATCACTCGAAGAAATTGGTAACATCTTACCGTCAGATGACGACACAGAAGATAAAGAAGACAAAGAAGCTTTAAAAAGTCCACCACGAACAGCCGATTCCCAAAAAGAAGTCGAGAAACAATCAGTAGGGTCGCTTGAATCAAAGGGCGACCAAAATAGACAAGAAAACTTGGATTATGATCCATCACCTGACCCGCTTACACTTCCAATCCGACCGGAAGACCAGAGATTGCCACCACCACCAAAAGGAGGATATCAAATAATAAAAAGGATCCTGGATAGACCGTTAACACCAACTTCAGAGATTGATGAATTGTCTGCTGCATATTATATGTAATGTATATATATACGTTGTACTCAGTATAATAGATACGAATTAATTTACTTATTATTGTAATGCTTGTATATATATAAGAAGTAATCGTTATATTAATTGTTCGGTAATGTTGTAATATTTAGATAAGAGCCGTAAGATAAAAGCCGTAATCAAATCAAATGAAAATAATAATTTCTATCAAAATTTTATGCAACCATAGTTTCATGAAGCTTTGGCATGTTAAAAAAATCCATATAAAGTACATATCTGCTGAGCCATGCATCAATTTATTTTTCACTATAGGTGAAAATTAAACAGGGTATACGAATGAATGAAAAAAAAGAAGCCCGCATAATGTGAGCCTCCATGGCGCAACCGGCTAGCGCGTTCGGCTGTTAACCGAAAGGATCCTGGTTCGAATCCAGGTGGGGGCGTGGCCCCTTCCCAATAATATTTTTTTTTTTTTTTCTCTAAATTCTTTTTTAATAATTTTATCTAGAGAATATGAAATGCGTTTTGATATGCACAAAGTGAGAGTTACGGATAAAGTTGCTGATTATATCCAAAGTTCGAATGCTACTCATTGTTAAAATTTCGTTTAAAAAAAGATTTAGTTTAGGTCATATGATAATGTATAAAGCCATATACGGCAAGATCTTATACTAGAGCAGGGACGCTTTTCAAATTGCAAATTTATGCATCACACACAAAATGGGAATCTGGAAATCGGTAATTTTGAATAAACCGTAAAATGTAAATCTATGATTGGCTAAAACATTATATTTAGTTATTATTAATTTATTACAGTGCAGGATATCTTAAACCAGCAAGTAAAAACTAATATTTTTTAAAAATTATTTATAAGATAAAAAATATAAAACAAAAAGATTTCTGCAAAAATATACAAAAAAACAAGCAAAACAAAGTTACAAAATTTATTTTTTAATTTAATAAATTTTGAGAATGTTATTTGCTTTTTAAAGTTATTAATAAAATTAAAATTTGGCTACTTACAGTCAACTTTAAACAGAACAAGCCGTTCTAGCAAATTTGTTCGACATAGAGTAAATCTGGAATACACATTTACTCTCTTTATACCGAGCGTTTGGTATAGCTAGACACGTGATACACTTTCAGTATACGTAGCTGTCACTAAGTTTTTAATTTTTTTTACTTGTGCCCAACTTAAATATTAGAAGCAATTAAGGGTGATATACCTGTAAGATACCTTTGTCGAGGCCTTTCTCCCATCCAAGCTGAGTTTATTAATATTTAAAGTCAGCATTTCTTGTGGGTATTCACTTTTTTTACTTTGTCTAAAAGTAAATAAAATAACTTTTTTTTCGCATCACAATATCGCAAAAATCTAACGCTATCTCTAAAAATGCATTTCGTATTGCATTAATATTAAGTGTCAGATCCGGTTATCGAATTTTATTATGATTGTTCAGTAATTATTTATAATTAAATGTTTTTACCAGGGTTCGTATATAGGTTCGGTTTAGCAAGAGTTGACTGAATATTAAAAAACATGATAAAAGTTAAAAAAAAAAAAAAACATAATAAAAATTAAAAACATAAATTTTTAAAAAATATTAACCAATCAAAAATTAGTATTTTGCCTTTAAACTTTGCCGCTTTAAAAAAAGTTGCTGCTTTAAGATGTTTTGCACCGTAGTAATCAACTTGTTCTTTATCTGTTTTTCGAACTTTGAGCGAAACTATTCCAATAATAGCCTGGTTAATTTAAAGACTATTTTTGAACCCTATTAATCTGTGAGATATATTATCAATTTTAATGTGCTTGAAGGGTTTTATTTTTAAATATAAAGATGATATGAGGACTTTAGTGAACTATTTTGCTTTTTTATAAACGTAAAAAATAAATTAAGTTTTTTGCGAACTTGAATTATAGTAAGTTTGATATTTACATTAAATGTCGACTTAAGTTATTCTTCAATTGGTGAAAAATTAAAGGATGACTCGGTCGATTAATAATCAACAAAAATCCATAGTTGACGGGAAATGAATGCGAGTCAGGTCAAAAAATAAAACACAAATTTTACGTTGGTTGCCTTAATTATTTAAAAATTGCGAAAATATGTATGTTACATTATAAAAATTTTAAAATCGTCACTTTATTAATATTACTGAATACTCGACATTACTAATGGTCGATCATCTAACATACAAGTATATCCTCTTTATGATAAGTCTGACAAGTCTGATTATTAGATATACGTATGAGTATAAAAATATAAAATAGTCTTTTATAAAATAAACTAAAAGAAATTGTTATTTGATGCATGGTGTATCCAGTGATATCTCATTAATTGGTTGATAATTTTTTTTTTCTTTTTTGTAAGTTGAATTTTACATAATAAACCACCTTTTGTATTCTAAAAAAATAAAAATATAAAATTTTTATACAAAATGGTATGATAACCTATTCCTCCTCCATTAGCCCTAAATCTAAATCCAACTTTGATAGATTTAGAACGTGATTTAGATGGTGATTTAGGTTTAATCAACACCAAACTATACCATTTTTTTTGCTTTCAGTGGAATCTAAGAACCCATATCAGAATCTTTACGAAACAAAAATAAAAAAATAAAAATTTAAAATTATGCAAAAAATTCCAAATGTTAATATTATCCATTATTTTTTTATATTCCTTCAATATTTCGTTTAGAGTAGAAAATTTAGATGTCGCATCTCCACAGAAAATAGTTGAATTAACTAAACTTAGATTTTCATCATCACTACAAAGCACTCACTGGATTACCATCTGTGTCATGGTATCACAGCCGAGTGTTGTTTTACATAAACCTAATATATCATCTGTTCCTATACTGCATATTATATAATTGTCGCCAAGCAATATGCGGTTTTCAGCGAATTAATACAATCATTGTAAAATGTGTAATCAGAATCCGTGTAAAAGGTTACGTATAACTAAAATAAGTATAATTATAGAACATAATAATAAAAAGAGTGTCTTAATGTATTGATTTTTTTCTAATGAGATCTACTAAATTTTTATGAATTGTAACTCCTTTGTTCATTATAATCAATTCTTTAGTTGAAAAGAGATTTTTTAAGCTTATGTAAGTCCGCTTTCACTAAATAATGCTGTCAAGACATTACCTATGATAGATAATAAATTTGATATTTCATTTTCGACAGAACTTTTGGAATTATTTGTGAGAAGGCCGCTGGTCTCTTTTCGTCGTCAGTAATAGTTTCTAACTACTTAAACAAATAATAAAATATATCGATGCGAAAAGAGCAAAAATTGGAATTAAAGTACTGATATTGATTTAAAAGATAAGTTAAAATGGTTCGTTCTCTTTGTCATTTGTTTTTTTATTAACAGATTTTGGTTCAAGATTTTGAGTATTGGTTGTTTTTTCAAGTTCATCCACTTTTTTTCTTAATGAAATAAATTCACGAGTTCTTTCATTTAACATTACATGTTACAATATTTCTTTAAAACATCTTTACCTCATTATATTGTGTTATTTCTTGTTATCTGGCATGATTTGACGGATACATGGGTATCGGCAGGATAATAGCAAAAGCACGTGGCCGAAGGCTTCATGAGTTGCAATTATACTGTCGAAATATCATACCAGATAGCTAGTTTATCTGGCACACTTATGGAAAGAATTTTATATTACTGTATTAAAATTAATAAGAATTTGTCACATGATTTTAATAAAAATTTGCGGAAATAATGTAAAATTTTTTCCGTCAGTGTTTACATAGTACCTGCCGGATAAACGAGAAATATTTGATTTCAATGTTTATACTTTGTCTCTGAGGAATAATTGTAGTTTTTAGATTTTTTGCACTAGAGTTTAAGAAATATTGTATTTTTTTATTCACATTTCTTACGTCTCTATTGATTAAGAGTGCTCTCAAGCATCTAAATTAATAGGTCGAAGCTCAATTTTAATTTGGAAAACAGTTAGTTGGTCAAATTGGTTCATTATCGCAATGAAAGAAAAAGATGGTACGAAACCTTCTTTTTTTATCATAGAGTTGTTCTGATCCGCATTTTGCGATATGAATTTTCAGTAAAATTGTCATAAAGGATTACTTCAATTAATCGTAGTACTTGTGCACAATTAGCTAATTACATTGTGTGAAATGCTTGAGAAGTAAAGATGCTGGTAAAATAAAATAAAATAAGGGTGATGAAATAATTTCACCATTATTGGCGAATCTGGTGAAATTGGTGAAACTAATTTCATTAGCATCCATTTGAAAGCACTCTAAGTGTACAAATAATAAATATTAATATACAGTATATTATTTAATACAGCAATACATATGAAGTACGTAAAAGGATAAGCAAATTAAGTGTATCAGATAGAGATTACCCGTCAAGAAAATCTCTACCCGAGTATTATTAAATCACTCAGTTAACCGAGTAATCTATTGTAGCCATATAATAACATTTTCTATCCGGGTATAATCTTTAGCCAAGAGAAGCCAAATTCTAGGCTTTTAGATACTGGGTACAATCTTTAGCCAAGAAAAGTAGAGATGATGATCGATCACACAATATCTAATTACTCAATCTTACTGTTCATTAAATTTTTTGTCAATACGTTCTATCGCGAGAAAAATAGAATGCATTAATCATTAAATTCAATTCAAAACACCATCCTATTCTAAAGATATGAAAAAAAAAGACCGAGCATGATCGATTATATGAAAATCTAAAAAATTTTGATCGATCACCATTTCTAAGCAAAGCCAAATTTAGGTTGAAAAATATTTATTAAATTATAAATTGTCAAGATCGATTTCAAATTTTTTCTTGTGTCGATTTTTAACTTTTTTAAATATAATAATGTCGCGGATAGGGTGTTTGGCATAGTGGCAAGGGCATGCCAATGGTGGCATGCCATAGTGGCATGCCACTGGCATGCCTAAAA